CTGTTTATGGAGCGCCTGCTGAAGACCTGAGGGCTCATTTTGGAGAGATGGAGGATGCAAAGGTTCCTCATCTTGATCAGGATAAAACAAAATTTTTCCATTATTTTCCAACTCTAGTGGTCAGCATTCACCTCCAGTTCCCGCAGGTAGTAAAAGGACACAGTCCTCCGGATTTGATAGTCTGAGCAGAAACAATCGACCTGGAGCTTCTTGCAGTATATATGGACCACCCTCCTTGCTTCCCCCACCCACTCAGTGAGGATGCCAAGGAATCTTCGGAAGACTTTGCCCGGACAGAATTCTATGAAAATCTTCAAGTGTGGCTTCGCTGCTCTTTGGCTGCATTTCTCTCTTTCCTTTGGAGACGTGGCCTCTTGTGAGCAGGTGCCCAGTGGGGCTCTGGACCACTCATTGGGGCAGTCCTGATTCAATCGGAAATCGATTGCTTTCAGCTTCCATTTCCTATGGAAAAAACGGGAAGGATGCTGGAAAAATAGACAAAGACCCGCCAACTTCCAATCTGTGCATTAGACCCCAGTGAACTCCTTGTTCTGGGCGGTTGCTCCTCTGCTCTCCTATTTTTCTCCATGTCCTTTCTCCTTGAATCCAGCCAGAGACCCTTCCTGTGGAGGGGGCAGGGCAGCCTCCTCCCTGGCACCACCTGTTCCACCCTTCACCCTGCCCTGCCTCCCCCAGATGTCTCTTTCTGGGCCCCCCTCACCTGGGGTGAACGTTATTGAAAATCAGCGAGCTTAGCCCATACAGTAGAGTTCTTAAGGCCATCAGATCTCCTGTCTTCACCAGATAGTCTACATACAGACAAGCCAAGGGACAGGACAGCACCATCTTCTTTAGCATCTCCTTGTGACACCCCATTATAACCTCTTTGTACAACTGCAGGATGAGCACCCTGGGCAGGTACTCCAGATTGGGAATGGGCAAGTCCTTTTTGCATAGTACATTCTGTATCACCAGATCCTGGAGTGTGAGTACGGTCTGGAAGCTCATCCTGTTGAATCTGCAGGGAACAGAGGCACCCTTTCAGGCCAAGCCTGAAAAAACCCTTCTCAACAAGCCGAGGTCCAAATCCTGGTAAGCCATAGCACTTCGGTGGTGGGGATCAAATCCCCAGTATCCAGTTTCCACCTCTGGTCCTCCCAACTCTAATCCCACTGGTTATCAAGGAGTCTGAAGGCTCACCAGTCCCCCTAGGACAGGTGACTCATCCTCACTTTTGAGATCTTGGGGCGTGAACCAAGGGCTGAATGCATGCCAGGTAATTTCCTTACCACTGATCCACATCCCAAACCTAAACCTCACTTAGGACCCCCTTAAAGAGAATAGAAATGTCACAGGGCCAATACCCAGCCTGGTGGCACAAGCTTGTAATTCTAGCAACTTGAGACACTGAGGTGGTTGGACTACAAGTTCAAGTCTAGCCTCAGCAACTTAACAAGATCCAAGGCCCTCGTGAGAGATCCAATCAGAATATAAAATTAAAAGGGCTGGAATTGCTCAAGAGGTAAAGTACCCTGAGTTCAAATGCTAAGTGTTAAAGCACCCTGAGTTCAATCCCCATTACCAAAAAAATATATATATAGTTTTTTAAAAAATGAGAACCTCAAGTTCGAGGGCAGACTGGGAAACTGAGCAAGACCTTGTCTGAGGCTCAAGATGTGGTTCAGTGGTAGCGAGCTTGCCAAGCATGTGAGACCCTGGGTTCAATTCCCTGTACCACACATGCACACACAAAACTATATACATATGTGGACATGCACAGATGTAAATCTAGATATAGCTATAGCTTAGGAGCTGTGCTGAGGGTAGTAGCTCAGTGATATAGGAGATTACTGAGCCCACATATCGCCTTGGGTTAGATCCCATTGGACCCCCAAAATGAAAATCAGAACTTTTGGTTGCTGAACTTAGAGGAAGTTTATTTGGGGTTCCTTGTTTCAGAGGTTCATTCCACGGACAGCCAGCTCCATTGCTCAAGAGGCAGAAGAACATGACCAAACAGAGCCTCAGAAAAGCTGATCAGTACAGGGCAGCCTGGAGGTGGTGGGCAAGGTGCCAAGAAACTTTAACAGGGGTTCACAGGATGCTTTCACTATATCCCTTGTGGCTTTGAAACTTACATGTTTCTCCCCCCTCCCCTGCCTCTTCTTTTCTCTAACCTTCTCTTTCATGATCTCCCTGATCTCCTTCCTGATCTCTCCTTCCTAATCCCATTTTCTTGTATCATCTCTATAAAAGCCCCCTGTTTTTGAGGATAGGCAGAAGCACAGGCTTTGGGATACTAGTCCTTGTGTTTCTTCTTTGCTCGCAAAACAATATACCTTTTTCTTTTTTCTAAATATCTTGTCATTGCTATTGGATCAGCATGGAGGATGGGGACCAAGACTTTGGTTGCAAAAGTTAAACCCAAAGACACACCCACAGGGACCTATTTTCTCCAGCCACACCTCACCTGCCTAGAGTTTATCACCAGTATGTAGTCCTATCAAATCCATTAAATAGATGAATGTACTGATTATGGATCTTATAACCCAATTGTCTCACCCCTTGCATTAACACTTGAACCTTTGGGAGAATACATCCTATCCAAACCGTGACACCAAAATCCAGTAATAAAACATTGATATAAAATATATACATCGCATACATGCACGCATATTCCTTTGTTTGTTCTTCAAGGTGTTTAAATTTGGGGTGATGCCAGGTATGGTGGCACACGCCTGTTTTCACAGAGATAGGAGAGGCTCAGGCAAGAGGATCACAAGTTCATGGGCAGCCTCAGCAACTTAACGAGGCCCTCAGCAACTTAGCAAGACCCTGTCTTAAAATAAAAAATAAAAGCTGAGCATTGTGGCACACACCTGTAATCCCAGCAGCTCAGGAGGCTGAGGCAGGAGGATCTTGGGTTCAAAGCCATCCTTAGTAACAGCAAGGATGCTGTTGCGCTAAGCAACTCAGTGAGACCCTGTCTCTAAATAAAATACAAAATAGGGCTTGGGATGTGGCTCAGTTGTTGAATGCCCCTGAGTTCGATTTAGAAAAAAAAGAAAAGAAAATTGAGCGTGGTAGTGCTTTGTTAACAGGAAAACATCACTTTTCATCAATTAGGGTACAAGTTTCTTTCTGTGAATAGAATAAAATAAAATAAAGCAAGAACTAATACTGAGCCCAATTTATTCACCTCAGATCACACTGCTGGAAGAGAGTCCAAAATATTTTTAAAATGCTCAGGAACTATGGGTCCTTGTCATAATTTATGTTCTGTGTGAAATACAGAAAATACCTGGTCAGCCTCTGGGGCTGGCATCCACTTTACTGCCAGTTCTGGGAATCTCTAGTGCACCCCAGTCCCCGGGCAACCCTTGTGGACCTTCCCAGTGCCAGCCCACATTGTCCACCAGAGGCTTAGCCACAGGGGAGTCCTGCAAGGCGGCACAGAGCTCCTGCTGCAGGTTCCTTGGAAGCATTTATTTTCCTCTGCAGAGCTGCAGCCTCTGCTGCTCCTGCTGTTTTCCCTGAATCTGTTTTTTTTTTAAATCGATTTTATAGCATTTCAGTCAGTTGTACATACTTAACCTGAGTCTAGTCATAAAGAAATATCAGTCAGGAGGCGAGCGGCAGTGGCGTGGGGCTCTCTTCCTCTTGCTCAGCATTGTGGCCGGGCTGTAGCCACCGCCTGCTGCTGTCGCCACCGCAGCCACCACAGCCACCACCGCGGTTGTCCCTGCCTGGCCCATCCAAGAGGTGTGCTTACAAGGTTTCTGCTTGTGTCCCTGGAGCATGGGAGGCTGCTGAGCTGGAGCGGAGGTATACAGCAGGAGCTGTATGTTTCACTCAGTGGCAGGGAGGGCGTCCATGGCTGCAGCCAATAAGGGCAATAAGCCCAGAGTCTGGAGTATCCACTTTGCAGCAGGCCATGATGTCGAAGGCTCCCAGAGCCATGTCCACTTTGATGAGAAGCTACATGACTCAGTGGTCATGGTCAACCAGGAGGGTGACAGCAGCTTTCTGGTCAAGGTTGGCTTCCTGAAGATCCTGCACAGGTATGAGATTACCTTCACCCTGCCCCCAGTGCGCAGGCTGAGCAAGGACATCCGGGAGGCACCTGTTCCCAGCCTTCACCTCAAGCTCCTCAGCATCATGCCCATCCCTGAAGGTGTGTCCCTTCCTGGAGTTCTGGAGGCCTGCCCTCCTCCCGTAGGTCCCAGATGTGAGTGAGAGTGAGAATATGGGGTACTTCAAGTCAGTGACATATACCTCTTAAGAGCTTGCAGTGATAACTTGGTAGTTCGCATGTCCCAGGCCTCCCTTCTTTGACTGAAGCCAATGCAGGCCTGCATCTGCCCATTGCCTGATGGTTTTCTTAGTGGGGAAGTTATCAAGATGGGAACCACCGGCTTTGGGCCTCCAACCCTCCCTCCTGCCTGCCCTCGAGAAAAATCTGCTGGAGCCGCAGAACTTTGTGTGGCCAACTTCTAGCACCACCAGTCCCAGGCTCTGGGTTTCACACTGCTTCTCCCAACCCTGCTGGCCTGAGGCCCTGCTCTACCCACTACCTTCAGCTTGGAAGAGGCTAGGGTGTCAGTTTCTCCATGTGCTGCCCATAGACCCCAGCTTCAGTGTCATGTCCCCCTTTCTCTACCTTTTCATGACCTTGTCCTCCAGTGGACTCCAAGCAACATGCCTTAGGCATTTGCCTTGCTCTTGCCACAGTCTGCTCACATTCCACCCTGCCTGCCTCCCTTGTTCTCCATCACCCCCTCACTGCCTGCCTTTGTGTTGAATACACAGGTCCTTCTTTTGGAAAAAAAAAAAAAAAGAAATATCAGTCAATTGTACCCTGAGGTGCAGACTCTCGTAATTCCAGCAGACTCTCTAAATAAGCTAATGTTATGAACAATTTTTGAAAATATTGAGGGAACGTCTAGTTCATTTATTTTATTATTTTTTATTCTGTTTGTTATATTTTGTTATACACAATGGAAGAATGCAGTCATTCCATATTACACATATAAAGCACAATTTTTCAAGATACTGATTGTACACAGAGTATTTTCACACCATTCGTGTCTTATACATGTACTTGGAGTAATGGTGTCTGACTCATTCCACCATCATTCCTACCCCCTGGACCCCTCTGTCCCCCACCCTCCCCTTCCCGCCTGCTTTTGAAGACCAATGTCTTTCCACAGTGAACTCGTCTTCACACACAGGGTGCCATGTCCCCAGATGCTGCGATCACAGGCAGCTTCCCCTGTGCAGCTCATCTAGATCTCCCTAGCAGGTTTTGCCCTCCTAAGGGGAGATTGAAGACTTCAGCTGAAAACATTCTGGAAGCAGGGCAAACAGGAGGCAAGCTCAGGTACATTGGATATGAAACATTTTAGCAAAAAAAAAAAGAAAGGAAGGAAAAAACCCTCCCCAACCAGCGATACTGGCTCTAAGTACTAAAACAGTGAGAAAGGTGTATGATAATTGCTCCTGAGAGTCTCAAGCCTTCTCTCACATATTCACTACTGTTTCAGCTTTTAAAAACAACTTCATAAAATACAATATAAGAACAAATTGGTTTCATCTTTGTTTGGTTCTGATTGGTTGTTTGCACCACCGGGGACTGAAGCTCAGGGTGTTCTAACACCGAGTCACATCCCCAGCACTTCTCAGTTTTTATTTTTATTTTATTTTATTATTATTTTTTTAAGTTATCGGTGGACACAACATCTTTGTTTTGTACAAGGTGCTGAGGATCGAACCCGGTCCGCATGCATGCCAGGCGAGTGTGCTACCGCTTGAGCCACATCCCCAGCTCCTCAGTTTTTATTTTGAGACAAGATCTCACTGACTTGCCCAAACTGGCCTGTTTTTTTCCAGGGGTGGGGCTACTGAGGATTAAACTCAGGGACACTCAGCCACTGAGCCCCATCCCCTGCCCTATTTTGTATTTTATTTAGAGACAGGGTTTCACTGAGTTGCTTTGTGTCTCACTTTTGTTGAGGCTGGCTTTGAATTCAAGATCCTCCTGCCCTAGCCTCTGTAGTTAGGATTATAGGCATTCGCCACCAAGACCCACACAAACCATTGTTTATTTATTTATTTATTTTTGGTACCGGAGTTTGAGCCCAGGGCTGCTTTACCACTGATCTACATCCCTAGCCCTTTTTATTTTTTATTTTGAGACAGGATCTCACTAAGTTGCTGAGAGCCTTGAGAAATTACTGAGGCTGGCATTGAACTTGTGATCCTCCTGCCTCAGCCTCCCAAATTGCTGGGATTATAGGCATAAGACACAGCACCTGGCAAAAGCTGTTTTTAACATATATTATATGATAGTAACTACTTTTTAAAACTCTATGATAACTAGATTTATTTATTTACTTACTTGTGGTACTGGCATTTGAAACCAGGGTGTTTTAGTTTGGCTCTGCCTCTCCAGACCCCACACTTTTATTTTATTTATTTTATTTTCATTGACTTATTAAAAATAAATGACAGCAGAATGCATTACAATTCTTATTACACATATAGAGCACAATTTTTCATATCTCTAATTGTATATAAATTATGTTCATGCCAATTTGTGTCTTCATACATGTACTTTGGATAATGATGTCCATCACATTCCACCATCCTTGCTAATCCCCTGCCACATCCCTTCCCCTTCATTCCCTCCCAACCCTATGCCCTATCTAGAGTTCATCTATTCCTTCCAAACTCCCCCTCCCTACCCCACTATAAGTCCCTCACCTTATATCACAGAAAACATTAGAATGGCATTTGTTTTGGGGGGATTGGCTAACTTCACTTAGCATTATCTTCTCCACTGCTGTCCATTTACCTGCAAATGCCATGATTTTATTCTATAGGCCACTTTTTTTTTATTCATTCCTGCTCCAATGCTGAGGCCAGGAGCCCTGTGCAGGGTCACAGCGCTGGTGATTTCTGTGGAAAGCAGCTGTTTAGGAGTCCTCGAACACTCTCTGTGATGCAGTATTCCAACTAGGTGAGATCTGGATCACGGATCAACACAGAAGGCTGCCTCCCTCTGGCCCACCATCTTCATTCTCCCCACCCTTTTTATTATTTTTTAATTTTTTTAAAAGAGAGAGAGAGAGAGAGAGAGAGAGAGAGAGAGAGAGAGAGAGAGAGAGAGAGAGAGAGAGAGAGAGATTTTTTTAATATTTATTTTTTAGTTTTCGGCGGATACAACATCTTTGTTTGTATGTGGTGCTGAGGATCAAACCCCGGCCACATGCATGCCAGACAAGTGTGCCACTGCTTGAGCCACATCCCCACCCCCTCCCCACCCTTTTTAAATGCTGGTGAAGGAACCCTGTGATGCTTTACCACTTAACTACCTCTCCAGTCCTTTCATTTATTTTGAGACAAGTACTGGCCAAATTGCTAATGGCCATGATAAATTGGTGAGTTCAGCCTTGAATTTGCAGTCCTCCTTCCTCAGCTTTCAATGTGGCCAGTGTTATAGGTATCTGCCACCACACTTGGCTCTGACACTAGCTTTTTCCCTAAGCCACAGAGAGAGGTTTGTTTGGTAAAGTAGATACAAATTCTAGGGAGAATGGTGCAATCTCAAGATGCCTTTGGGGTAAAGCAAGGAATACTCACTCAAGGTGAAAAACCAGCCTTTACCTCAGAGCAAAGCCTGTCCAAGGAAGGGACATGACCTTTGTCCTTGGAAAGATCCACAGAGCACTCCTAGGCACATTCCCACCCTGCTAAGTTGTTTATCTACAAATAACAGGAGAGATCTGCTATTCCAGGTGTCCCTGACTCAGTCAGGCTAGGTGGGGACCCATAGCAACCCCCTAGCAGCCACCAATCATCATGAGACAGGGAAATACCTGGGATGCCACATGACCCTCCCAGTGGTTTATGGTGTTGGGAAACCATGTAATTCAGCATGAACACCCCTCTTGGCTTAAACCAATCAATTCAAATGAAACTCCCTCTGGTAGTAACCAGTCACACCTACCCAACTTGTTCCTGCCAGTGAATGTGCTAATCATGTTTTAGAGTTGTTGTTTAATTTTCCCAAGGTGTGTGATGATTTGCTAAGAGATGCTATGATGTATGTGGGGGTCCCTGCCTTCTCCAAAGAATGTATAAAACTGCTGCAAACCCTGGGCTGGGCTCGAGGCCTCTCAGCCACAGCAGTTGCTGTGTGCACTTGGAGGACCAAGCTATTTCACAATAAATACCTCTTTGCTGTTTACATGGATCTTGATCTCTGGTGGTCTTTTGAGGGTCCCGAATTTGAGCATAACAAAGGCGGAGTGCAGGCTATCTCCAGAGGGAGAGAAAATCTCTGGCATTAGTTTTATTTATCACTGAAGAAGAAAGCTGAGGCTCAAGCATTAAATCTTTTACTTGTGTTAGTTCTGGGGAAAGTGGTGAGTTAGGGGCTTTACAGATTCCAGAAGAATCTTCAGATTCACATTTGGATATTTTGTTGGGAGCCTGCCAGCCCTGAGACAAGCCTGAGGGTCCCAGTGCAGGTTTCTGGTATTAGCAGAACTTCTTAAGTCAAGTTCAAGTTTTTTTTTTTCTGACTTTGAGGTCTGGGTAAATTAGCCTTTGACAGTCAGGCAAGGTGGCTCACCCCTGTAACTCCAGCAACTCAGATAAGCTAAAAGAAGATGGGAAAGATCCAGGCTAGCCTCAACAGCTTAGTGAGACCCTGTCTCAGAATAAAACAAGAAAAGATAAAAAGGGCAGAGATGTATCTTGGTGACAGAGGACTCCTGAGTTCAATCCTTCATACAGGGGGAAAGAAAAGAAGGGAGGAAAGGAGGGAGAGATAGAGGGAGAGAGCGAAGGAAGGAAAAAAAAAGGGAGGGGGGAGGAAAAGAAAGGAGAAAAAAAGAAAGAAATGGAGGGTATGGGAGGAGAAAGGAAGGAAGGAAGGAAGGAAGGAAGGGGAAGAAAGAAATTGCCTCTGGCAGTATAGAGACCAAGACCAGGCAAGATTGGTTAGGTGTTGAAAATCCATCAGGAATGCAAGATTGTGTTCTTTTTTTTTTTTTTTTTAATAAGTAAACAGTTTTTTTTGAGAGAATTTTAATATTTATTTATTTATTTTTAGTTTTCAGCGGACACAACATCTTTGTTTTGTATGTGGTGCTGAGGATCTTTGCATTGCGGTTTAACAGAAGGCTTTATTAAAGGACAGCAGAAATGACTTCCCCCCAGAAGAAGAAAGG